TTGTTATATCCATCCTGCCATACTTTTTTGACCGTATGTCCTTGGTTAACCCATGTCTCGTCCATGAAGTACAATTTCTTTTTGAGCTTCCGAAATTCGTCAATTTTTCTTAGATAGAATGTATAAGTATTACTCATTACAAGCTCATTACTAATTTTTGTCATAAATAATACCTTTTAATCGTACTAGTATTGTGTATTATCTATAATTTGCCACAACCTACAACTCTACTGCTTGCTATATTTTGATTCTGCTATAAACTGGTAACGTAAAATTTAGATATGACAACGCGCTTTACTCTCAATCATTATTGGTTTTACTATAGTTGTCACAACTAATAATATGTGTTCACAGTAGGTAAATTTTATATCGTAACTATAAATTTTAACTTCAAATTGGGAATGGCTGTGTCTAATATTCCGACACCGGAAAATTTTAAATTGCCAGCTATCGGATTTGACAAATTGATTAAGGGTTGACGATAAATCGTAACACAAAGCTTTCACTATCAACAAATTTGAATTTCAAAATAAAACCACGTATTTACTAAAGGCTAGGTTATTTGGAACAGTAGCCAAATCGTTTCATTTTCATTGCTATGAGCCAGTTTGGCACCATTACACCAGTATCTTAAACATTCATAATCCAGATTACTGCCACCGCCGTGCCCTGGATACCTTCTTTTTCATTGAAAGTAATAAATAAAGAGGGCCGGTCACAAACACATTCAATAATTGACTAACGCATTTCGGGGCCCTATAGATTAACTGGTGCTCGCGCGTAGGCCAATTCGACACTCGACTATTCGCCCAGGGCACTGTTGGCTGATTATCTAGCTGGACGGCTGCCCAGGACGGCAGGAATGCTGGCGAGGAATGTCCTGCGGGTCGGAAGGGTTGCAGAATACGGGGCAGCGTTGCAAAGGGATGTGGTGGTTTGGGACTTTGTTTCGATTGATTAATAATTTCGACTGGTTTCTAGAAAAAGTTATGTATACCGAGTGAGGAAGAGAGACGAAAACCGCTGGGTTTCTAACTTTCTACATTCTGAAAACTAAATAAATATAAATCAACAGAGAATCTGCTCTCAAATGTTATGAAAGACAAACTGAAAAATTTATCTTGAAAATTTACTTACGTTGCTGTTACATCGTACCAATGCTCCCAACAAATCTAGAAGGCTAGGTGACTAGGAAACGATTTATCTTATACCAAGAGTAAGATATATTTTGAATCTGCTTTGCGCCAAAATCATTCGAACCAGAGTCGAAATTATGTATAGCTGAAACTAACGTATCATTATGTATAGCTGTGTTGATAATGCTTCCATATGGAAAGCTAGCTGTGGTCATTAAAGTGGGAATCTTGAACCTTGTGACAACCTCAATATCGACCAATTAACTAGGATCTCTTGATAATGCTATTATGACTGTCATAGAGGATGATATTCTTGAAGATGGTCCACAGGTAGGATTTAAGATCTGCACATTCATGCTTGGTTGGCTGAAGGTGTCTGATACGTGGTTAATGGTTGCAACCAATGGTAGGGTATATTCCTTTAGTGGAGACCGACTTTCCAAGTCACATTTTAGTTGCTTAGCTACCTGACAGAGTTAGTCGTAGACTTAACGTCGATCAAGTCATTGTCATAGACAACCTTGAACTGGATTACACAAGTCTGCAACAAAAAAGGTGTCTGGATGTTTTCAACTGATATATATGTATTTCGGTGTTCTGAAAACTAAAAAAATACTCAAAAAGTTTCAGAAAGTCAGGTTATTTTACAAAACGCAAAATTGAATCATAAAAAAGAGTTTCTTGGCTAACTTGAAGCCATAAATAAATGCTTCAAAAGAAGCCCTACAACAGTTTTGCTTCACAATGGCGGTTTCTATGCCTCTATTCCTGTCGGTCTTCTGTACACTTCAAAGAAACCTGCAAGAACCTGGAATTGATTCTTTTCAATTGAAAAATAAAAACCACGATTGGCAAGTGTGCGATAATTCAAAAATCTTGGACACATCAGAAACACATCAAGCACATACTTCATGAAAATCATATTGAAGACATGTTTTTCTGGAGTAATGAGTACTTCTCGAAACTGAAGAACCTCCCAGCGGGTCATCTCTACTAGGCGAAAGTTATTTTTGAACACTATTGAGCACTTTTGTCCAAGACAGGAAATTCTGGTTGGGGAGAAGTTGGGTAGTGTTAGGATATTTCAAATTATCAGACAGTAAACATATAAGTTGAATATTTTATACTGTATCTTTTGGGTTTATAACCTCCCACAATCTGAAAAAATAAAAGATAAATCAAATATATCGTGTCTTGTATTCATGGTGTTGACCCACTATTGAAACTCAAAGCTGTTGACTATTTTTTTTTGTGATGCACTGTACTGTTGTAGTAAATACTCAAATGTACTGTTGAATTATGTATGTACCATTCTGTTAGACAATAATAGTGGCTTATGAATCATAAATCCATTCCTCCAATAAAAGCTCCTCAAATTGAAACACGAACACATTCCTTTTCGAACAATTAAAACTAATAAAGTCAAATATTTCGTTCCCCACTGCATTGATCACGATACCAAATCTATGATGGATTTCCAGTGGCGTACTGGAACTTTTTGGTATTTTCATCAATTTGGTAAGTTATTATAGAGATCAGTAAAAATTGATTCAATCACAAAGATAATATGTCAGGAGATGAAACTGATTGTTCGAGAATCCTAGTTCCATATTAATTAGTACTGAAGAACTGTTTATATCATGTTTACCATACTAAAGAAAAATGTATGTTCTGAGTTGGAAACAATATCAAGAACACTACGTGTTTTATAAAAAATCACAGTATTCACAGTAGGCAGTGATTTATGTATACATTTTATGAATTCGTTCAGCATCCCAAAATGAATTCCCAAAGTTGTCGACGGCAGAAATATGACGTCACAAGAAGAAGACTATTCTCTAGAGAGTCTAGAGCGATAGTAAATGAATGTGCAATAGCAAATATCCAATGAGTTCTGAACCTATACTCTTTATTTCGTCATGATTTATAAAAAACGTGAGAAAATTCTATGCCCGGTAATGAGTATCAAAATCATATGTATCTTTCTCCTCAACCTCCTAAAGATTATCAGTGAATTTGGCAACGTCGCGTGGTTCAATACCTCCTCGACAGTATTTACAAGAACGACTAAAGAGCGTTCTTTGCTTTGTGGTTCACTGTATATTAGATTAGACTAAATTGTCGCGGAGCTAGCCCATGGCCAGATTTACTGCGACCTTTTCATATCTATTGTGCTCCATAGCCTTGGCACTGACCCCTTCCTATAGCTGGCAGTCTCTGGTTTCTCTTCCCCGCATCTTGCGGGTCTCAGCCTTGGTAACGCTTTGCATTCACAAAGCACATACAGGGCGGTTTCTTCTTCTTCTTGACATAACCTACATTGGGTTTCTTCTGTCAGACCCATGTTGCTCATATGTTTCCTGAGTCAGCGATGCCCCATTAGTAGACCCACCCTTACAACCTCACGATTGTGGTTTAGTAGGTCTTCCGAAAATCTGGGCGATGGTTTCTTTATGAAATATATCGCCCGCCTTATTCCTGGGAGCTTATTCCACCAATCTATCGATTAGTTTGCATCCATGAATTTATGGATGTCTTTATACATACTTTCGCTACCCCGTAGAAGGGTTTGATATATAGACTCGCTACAGAAAGCATCTCAGGTGATTCAACAACCTACTCATTGAATTACGAAAGTTGCTGGCCAGCTAGTATTGTGTGATCCAACGGGTTCTTACGATCATCCTCTTGGAACCAGAAGTCTCTCTACAAGCCGCTACTATAGCCGATATAGACTCAGGTGAGAACCACAGCCACGTAATGTCTCGCTCTTTTTTTGTGCCCTGGACAAAATTCTATTGGGAACTTCCTCAAATCATACAATCATATATTATACTACAGTCCACTTATCTAATGAAGCTACATGTGTTTGGGCCTTCACGGGCTAGAACATCGACTTCCTCATTGCCCTTGTGAACCTCATGTACGGGTAACCAAGCTGAAGTGACCCTATTTTGGGTACCACCAGTCTTGAGGAGACTTGAAATGAGCTGAGCGCCTCAATTCTGGCTGTCGGAGAAAATGACAATGGTTTTATTTGTGACCTTCTGCCTGTTTATTTCCCCTATACAGTGTTCGATGGCCGCTACTTCTGCCTGGAACCCAGTTGCATTACGTCCGAGGCTGAGTGCGATTCTGGTCTTTGATCTGCCTCCGTATATACCGGCTCCCGCTCCTTCTTGGGTCTTTGAGCCATCTGTATACCAAGTTCCTTCCTCTGTTACCTGTGGGCTGTTTTGCCAGTCCTCTCTACTTGGTATATTGTTTTTAAAGTTGTACTGCGGAAATGTGTTATCCACGGGCATTCCTAGTATTGGATCTGCCTTCAGTTTATTGTACAGTTTCAAGTATTCTGCACCGTGTGACTAGCTGATTGGGGTTTGCTCCTTCATTAGCCTGTGTGTCACCAGTCGGGCTTCATTTCGTATGTAGTCCGAGTAGGACCTCAAGTGCTGCTGTTGGGGTCGTTCTCATGGCTCCCGCGGCAGTTAGACACGCCAGCCTTTGTATGCCGCCTAATAACCTAGCCGTATCCGATTGCTATGTTATTTTCCACCAAGTCAGTAAACCGTATGTTATCATGGGTCTTACTACCCTTGTATATAATCAAAGTGTCATTTTTTGGTTCAGCCCCCAGTTTTTCCCGCATTCTTCCGCAGATTCCCAGGACCATCCTGGTCATCCAAAAACAGAATGTGAAGGTTCCACTTAAGGCTGGACCTATATTGAATCCGTATTTCTCCCGACCCGATATGGGACGACCATCGGACGCCCCGCGATCCGATGCAGTCAGTTGTAACTGCCTACACTAGACTCGATTCGACCCGATAGGTTAACAGTTAAAGTTGTGTTTTGGGGGTAATTATGAGTGACTCTGAAGATGATTTTTTGTGGTGGCTCAAACAAGAAACTAATGTTCTCCTTAATAGGAGACGTAGGAAAAAGGTATGGCTGCATCAGTTTAATGAAGATTAATCTGAAGGGGAATTTCTCAAAACTTCCCTACTCATAAGAAACTACCCGGATAAATTTAAGGACTATGGAAACATTTAACTGTATTCTTGAAGGCATGAAAAACGATATAACTGGCCAGTCTAACTTCAGAGCATGCATCAGCCCTTTTACCAGTAATTGGTCCCCAATAACCTCCCATAGTTTAGGCTTAATATCACACTATTATGGTAATCCTTGTTTCGCTAGTCCCACAAGCGGGGCTCATATCTCACAAGAATTGTCAAAAACTCTTTATCAATTTTATTATTCATTATTATACCACTCCGTCGAAATGAAAGATCTGACTAAAAACAAACACTTTTGATTTGACTACTCGTCGGTCAGTAATCAGTAATCGTCATATCGGACTACCCTTTCCAATGAAGGCACCTACTTTTAAACTAAAGTGTTTGTTTTTCTTCCGATGTCGTGCGATGGTCGTCCTACATCGGGTCAGGAGAAATACGGATTCAATATAGGTGCATCCTAAGCCTGTGATCGAAAGTCACACCTTCGATCACATTGGTTCACTGTAACTTCATTTATAATTATCAATATATTTATTCTTCAGTCATTCGATTCAAATATAACTATTGTTTATAATCGCCAGTTCAAGTTCTCTTGCCCTGTTATTCTGTTTTTGCGCGGATCATCATGATGTAAGTAAGTATGGTTTCTTGTATAAGCATTTGATTCTTGCTCCATCTCTTCAAATTATTCAATCTATTAGATTCAACACTTGGTAAAAATACTCCACGGAAAACTATAAAAGAACATTTGAAAACCTGGTTGTGAGTCAGCCACAAGCATGAGTCATATAATTATTGCTCCAGAAGAACTCAATGAAAAATAGGTATTCAAACAAATTTCCATTTCATTTTGTGGATGGAAACTGTCTGACATTTTTATCAAAGTTTCATATAGTCGTAATACTATGAACTCTTAAATATTACGATCATAGGACTTGTTACATAAACTGGAGTCATAACGCTGGCGAATTCACAATGTGTTTCACTCGATTATTACACAATAATGATGCAAATTGATACGATTGTGTTCTTGTCCAGTGCGCTGGTCCGCCACTGTCCTCTCTCCGGCCATAATCCAGAAGGCATCTCTGGATCGTGAGTTGGGAGAGCGAGTCGGTCCTTAATTGACTAATTCCTCACATAATGGGTAATTGCTATGCCGGTGATGTATTGCCAGACTCGTCTCGCCTACTTCGACTGAGCCTGCCATTATATTCATACTCGGGTTTAATCTGTCCCGTGTGCCGTTATTATCACTTACCGCGAGGAAATTGCTCGCCGCTGCTGCCAATATTAGGTGCCAATCATTTTATTACCACCGCCGGATGGAGACAAACTAGTAGGTGATATCGAGTTAGGTTGAAATAATCGGAATTATTCGGTCGATAGTTGCGAATAGAGAAAATCAGAAGTGGGATGAAAGTAGGATCAGAAGTGGGATAAATGCAAGCGAAACTGTCTGCTACCTACCTACCAATAAAATACCATTCCCGAACAGGTTTTATATCATACGTATACAAATAGAAAAAATCAATCTGCAGTAGCTTAGCTATGATTGATTGGCATCGGATTGTGGGTTTCCTTCCATCAAAAAGGTACTGATTAAGATACAATTTCTAATGATATTCTGTAAATGATCAACAACAACTCGCAATGTGCATGGCTCTCCAGCTTTATTAAAAAAAAGTTGATGCTCATTTGTCCACTCAGCTTTTGTTATTCTACTGGCTTGCGTGTGAAACAAAACTTCAATATTTTTTTATCTCGTGTAAAATTGTTTTTTTGGAAACTGCTCATACATGAATCAATTCAGTGTTTTTACGGACATGTCTGCATCTTTTAGAAAGAATCTCATGAAACGAATAAGGATACTAACAATCGAAACGTCATTTTTATTTTTACACTGTGGTCATTTTCATATTTTATCTTCTTTATTTTTATTCGTTTTATTGAAGGTTCATTCCACGTTTTATTGCTTGATATAATTGATATACTATCTATCCTTTTTAATTTTTTTTTATTCTTTCATAGATCTCAAATCATATTAAAATCGTATTAGATAATGGAAGTCTGAACTATGAAACTATAAAATATTGTCAACCAGTTAAAAAAAAAAGGTTATGAGTGTGTCATCTTCATATATTTATGAATGCATTATCATATTTTGTGAAAAATATGTCATGTCATAACCGTAATTCAGATTTTCATTTGTATACCACTAACCATGGTAATTCGATTAAGACTCAAAAGCACTCTACAAGTCTCTTTGAAAGTTGAAAGTACAATCTATCACCAGACACCTAAAAAAAAATAGCAATTGTTAAACACAGTTTTGAAAAAAACTCAAAAGATTTCCTTACTCAAAATATATTTCACAATGTGGATGAGTATTTCACTATATGAAAGTCAGTGTCTTGGTAGTATAAGCTTTATATTTGTGTTTATTTGTGTGTTTTGTACAGCGTCATCCCCAAAGTATGCACCATATGGGAAACTTATTTATTAAGGGTTTTTCGACAAAAACTTATACTTGATAAAAGTTTGTGCATCCCCTAAAATTGAACATGCACCAACAAAATACAGTAAAACACGGCTAATATACGAGGAGCCTTCACATATTTGATTTTGAGACGAGAGTAAAGTACTCTTATTTTGAAAAATCTCGGGAAATTCAGAAAAGCATTAAAAAATACATCTAGCTTTGAAGTCATGACCATCTGAGTGGAGTTTTATTTTTTTACCAATTTTTTTCAAATGGGGACTACGAAAAAAAATAACTAAAACGATAAATAGACAGCATCCTGTATACGAAAGTTCATTTCAAAAGCCTGCAGTATTATACATTACTTACTTGCCCAAATTATTCTCCAGAATAATCTGTTTAAAAAATCTGTTTAAAAACTGTTTTTCCATTAATCTCCAGACAATCAATGAGTTTGTTCTAAAATACCTATTTCATTTTGATGTTTTGTGATTTGATATTATTGAATATTAACTTCTTGTTACAATACTGTATAATTTTGAGTAATTTTCGGTGTTAACAAGAAATAAAAATAACTTCGCACCAAAAATTTTGAAAATTATATTACTCTTCAAAAAAATTGACCGTGGTTAACATCATAGTTGTGTAATTCGTAATAATACAGAATTTTAAAATGTAAAATGACTTCAAATCTAGATGTATTTTTTGATGCTGAACATTTTTTTTTTAAATAACATTTTTCGAAATTTTTCAAAATAAGAGTACTTTACTCTTGTTCCAAAATCAAATATTCGAAGCTCCTCGTATATTCTGTGTGTTTCACTGTATTTTGTTGGTGCATATTTAGTTTTAGGGGATGCACAAACTTTTGTCAAGAGTAATATTTTGTCGAAAAATCCTTAATAAATAAGTTTCCCATATGGTGAATACTTTGGGGATGACACTGTATATGTATGTGTATACAATTTGGGCTAAAAAGTTCGTAGGCTCACATAGAAAAAAAATAATTTTTTCATAAAACTTGATTTCATTATTCCATATAGTCGCCTTCACGGACGATTCAATGATTATACCGTTCATACAATTTGATACCATTTTTATAGTTCGATTTGTCTTCAGCATCAACGATTTTCAACGAGTTTCAACGATTACCTCTTCATCGGCGCTAAATTTTTTCCAGCGAGCATTCTCTCGAGCCATGGAAACAGGAAAAAGTCGCTGAGAGTCAGATCTGGAGAATACGGTGGATGCGGAAGCAATTTAAAGCCCAATTCATACAATTTTGCCATCGTTTCCATACGTTTCTGATACGGTACATTGTCTTGATGAAACAGCACTTACTTTTTCTTTACCTTAATGGAGCCGTTTACCATAATTTTGTCTTCCAAACGCTCCAATAACGGTATGTTATAGTCGCATCCATGCGCATCCCAAAATACTGATACCATAACCTGTCCGGCCGACCGTTGCGTCTTTGCACGTTTTGGAATCGGTTCACGACGAGCAGTCCACTCAGATGACGATCGCTTCGATTCTGGTGTGAAATGATGGAGCCATGTTTCATCCATTGTCACATATCGACGCCCTAATTTGGGTTTTTCATGGTGCAACAGCTTCAAACAATGCTCAGAATCATCAATTTGTTATTCTTTTTGGTCGAATGTGAGCACGCGCGGCACCCACTTTGAACAGAGCTTTCCCATACCCAAATATTCATGCACGATATGTCCAAAACTTTCTTTTGATATCTTTAGAGCCTCAGCTACCTCAATCAACTCAACTCTGCGGTCATTCCAAATGATTTTTTGGACTTTGTTGATGTATTCGTCGATAACAGTCCACTGCGTGCATCGCCCTCTGTGATCATTCCAACTCAACCACTTCTCAACGGTTGATTTTCCTGGTGCAGAATCCGAATAATATTTACCAACCTAAGCCTTGGTTCGGCTGGGAAAAAGTAATGCTCCATTAACACACGAAATTCCTTTTTATTTATTTTATTGAAACTAACAAAAGTTGCTTCACTGAAAATGATCTATCCCACAAACTAATAGTCCAACAGCTGTGCAGCTGTGTTTTCTGAAATTTAGGGATAACTAAAAATCATATGGATATACTACTCGTGGCGCCATCTCTGTGTTAGCCTTTGAACTGTTGAGCCCATCTAGTATGTGTGTAAATTATTACTGTTGTATTATTTTATTGTTCAGCTCAACTACTTTTTGTAAAGACAATATTCATATTTCTTTTAATGAAACTGACGTACCTATATCCTTTGTTTGTTCGAAAGGGATTCAATAAATATTATTATTATAATCCACTATAATCGTCGGAAGCAAAGTTGGCGTAGCTGGCCGTTCTTGGATTGACTAAACAGGAAACTCATCCTCAAGCTGGCTCCTACCTTCAGATGTTCATGCATTGTTAGCTCGATCTTCTTG